ATGACACTTTTTCCAGTTGAGGACCAGATTCTTTTCCTCGCATCTCTCCAAAACCTTGCATAGGTTGTCGAGACAAACTTTGAAACTCGATCCATAAACCGAGAAGTCATCCATGAATACTTCCATGAAGTTTTCTATCATATCAGTGAAGATTTACATCATGCAGCGTTGGAAAGTAGCTGGGGCCTTACATAGACCAAATGGCATTCTCCGATATGTGAAGGTTCTATAGGGGCATGTGAATGTTGTATTTTCGTGATCATCCGGATGTATCGGGATTTGGAAAAATCCGGAATATCCATCAAGAAAACAATAGTATTGGTGATTTGCTAGTCTTTCCAACACCTGGTCAATAAAAGGCAGAGGAAAGTGATCTTTCCGGGTTGTGGAATTCAGTTTCCTATAATCGATGCACATGCGATATCCGGTTATAGTCCTCGTTGGGATAAGTTCATCTTTTTCGTTCTTAACGACTGTAATACCTCCCTTCTTTGGTACAACATGGACCGAACTTACCCAATTGCTATCAGAAATTGGATAAATTATCCCTGCATCAAGCAGTTTAATGATTTCCTTCTTTGCGGCTTCCTGGAGATTCGGGTTTAGTCGTCTTTGATGCTCTACATACAACTTGGATTCGTCCTTCAGATGAATCCGGTGCATACAAAGGTCAGGAGATATGCCTGGGATGTCATCTAAAGAGTATCCAAGTGCCTTCCTATGCTTGCGAAGCTTGTTCAGCAATAGAGCAAGTTCCCGTTGGTGAGATTTGTGTTAAATATCACTGGATAGCAGTCGTCCATAAGAAAAGCGTACTTAAGTCCAGCGGGTAGCGGCTTAAACTCCAATTTTGGTGCTTTTTCCTTTGTGAGATTTCCAACTGATGGTGGGTGTCGATCGATATCACTTTTAAGATATCGATCGATATCGATATCTGATCCATCATCGCTTTTGGTTCCCACGCGTGAGGATCCTTGGCTAGTTTCCATGAGACGATCGCACTCGGTTGCTCTGCTATCTATGCCGAAAATCTCGTTCTGAGCAGATACATGCGCATCTTCCAAATGATCATCCGAGTACAATTTCTCAAAAGATTCTTGGGTGGCTCATCCACCTCGTCCACATAAGATGATTGTTTATCTATTAAAGGAAGTGTGATGACCTTCTCCATATCAAATCTCATTGGGATGTTACCTATGTTAAGATTTATTCGTCCTTCGTTGACATCAATAATGGCGTTGGTGATAGCAAGGAATGGTTTACCTAATAGAATCGGATCTCTCAGCTTGTTCTTGTAATGCAGCACAACAAAATCTGTTGGGACAGTGCATCCGTCGATTTTTACTGGTACATCTTCAAGTACACCTTCCGGAATCCTAACAGATATATCAGCAAGAATTAGTTGGATATTAGCTGGTGTAAATTCAGTGTACCCAAGGAATGTTGCAACGGAGTGTGGCATTAAATTTACGCTAGAACCTAGATCACAGAGTGCTCTCGGGAATAGCTGGTTTCGAATTGTGCATTTTAGAACGAAGCTGCCAGGATCGGGTCCCTTCTCTAGGGTTTGAATTATGGCGCTAGCTTCTGCTGAAACCATCATGACACTGCGTTTCTTTGTTGAAAAACTCTAGGTTATCATTCCTTTGACATACTGTCTTATGGTTGGTGAAATTCTGAGGGCGTCACTAAGTTGCATTTCTACCATAACTCGTTCAAAAGCTCGTCTGCAAATTTCTTTATCCATGTTGTGTCTAGTTTTAGACTTGGGAGGGTATGGTTGGTCCAGTGGATGTTGGACTTTCTTTCGAATTCGTGGGTGTTTGTCGATCGATATTGGTGTCTTCGTGTCGATCGACATCGACAATTTCCTCTTCATCGAGAATGATTACTGGTTTCTCAGTTTCCTTAGATTTTTTATTCTTTTTTTTTGTTCTGCGGGAGTTCAGATTTCAAATCGCGGAGTAGCACGGGGTTGGGAATGGATTTCTCCGTTTCTGGAATTTCAGCGTTCCCTTCCGAAGGGTTGTTTTCTCAAATAATCGGAGTTAGCTGTTTTCTGTTCCTTAACATTACAGCACTTACATGACGTCTTGGTTTTGCGTCAGTCTTTCCTGGTAGACGTCCTGCTTCCCTCTTGATAGCGGTAGCGCAATTGGCAACATCGCTTTCTAGACTTCTGATTTGCTTACGCAAAGTGTCAAATTTCTCCGACATTTCGCAATAAACATCATCCAACTTGATGTCTAGGTCTTGGTTTAGCCTCTGATTTCCTGTGAAGACATGGTTTAAAACGGTTTGGGCTCTCCCTCGGTGTGACACGGCGAAGGTGTCGTAGTTTTGGGTAAAACTATCTATGTCAAAAAGGTATTCCTGAGGGTTTTCATGTCTAAGGAGTGTTTGCTCTATGGAATGGATATCCTTATTGCTTTGGGTAATACCAGGCTTCTTTTCCTTTGTGAAAGAATGAAGGAGATCTAGAGACTTCCTAATTTCATCTATTTGAAGATCATTCCTGGATCTAGATTCTCTTTCTTTATCTTTATTTTCATAAGATTTACCCATTGCTATGTTTGCAATCAAATGATTTGCTTCTTCTGGGTTCCTGGAGCTGAAATTTCCATTACTCGCATTATCTGGCGTGATCTGGTAATCTAGCTCGAGGCCTCCGTAGAAAAAATTAAGGAGCTGTGGTTTTGAATAACCATGGTGGGTACAATCTCGCTGATGATTCTTAAATCTAATCCAAGCATTTCTGAAAGATTCTCGTGGGCCTTGAAGGAAAGTGGAGAGTTTATGTCTCGCGTCCCAATATCGAGTCTCATCGAAGAATTGGTTAACGAAAGCAGTGCAAATATCTTTCCAGCAGGTTAAGGTTCCCGCTGGTATTTGATTTAACCAATTTCTGGCTTCCCTCCCTAAGGAGAAAGGGAACAATCTACAATGATTAATATCGCTGAGTGCCACTTCTTTTAGAAAATCGATGTGCTCGTCGGGATGCTCTGAGGTAGAACCACATAAAGGATTTTCTTGTACCAGATGAATGTAATCAAAATGAAGCGTAGACTTATTTGCTTCATCCTCTGGTAGCTTAATAGTTGACCTAGTGGAATAGGTCTTAATGGGGTCTAAGTTGTCTTGCAGTTTTTCTACATCTTTGTTTGAAGATGGATAACAATTGACAGGGATTGCAGTCCCTTGTTTAACTGTAAAATTATTTGTTTCATTGCATAACTGACCTAATGGTTCGTTTTGGACTACTTCCTCATTAACTAGATTGGTAAGTGAAGACTTACCTGCTCCCGGCTGGGTTTCATCGATCGATGTCGGTTGGTTTATGTCGATCGATTCCTCGGTCAACATATCGTTCGATTTATGCGTCACATCATCGGTCGATTCCTTGGACAACATATCGCTCGATGTTTGCGTTACATCATCGGTCGATGCTTGGCCGAAATCTGTCATTTCCATCTTGAGTTCCCTGTGATAGCAGAGAAAGAGGAAAAAGAATTAAATAAACGAAAATAAAATCTAGACTATATTCTAAACTAAATCTGATGGTAATAAGAAAGAGTCCCCGGCAACGACGCCAAATTTGATATCACTCAAATTACCCTAGGAGTGAATTACTCTCATCAAAAAAGGTTCAATTGTAGTACTTAGGGATCAAATCCACAGAGACTCTAAGATTACACAACAGATTATTTAGTTTTCGAAGTAAAGCTAGATAGCAAGTATTAAACAATAACTTAAAAGGTAACCAAGCGATTGCTTGATTGATTGATTTGTTTGTTAAGAGAAAATAAGGTAGTTAAACTTAGGTATTTTCTCAGGTATGACAAACATGCAAGTTATAAAGGGTTTTTATTATTCATAGTTCTGGATTCAAACTCTTAAGGATTTGAAGAATTAACTCTTACTAGATCCCGGGTCAAGAACTATCGTTCGATGACCTTGAGTAAATATCGAGCGATAGTTCGATAGAAATATCGATCGATGTTGTTATGCTATATCGGTCGACAAGACGGTTATCTCGTCGATCGATATTGCATCCAGCGAGTTCTAATGACAGGTTTGAAAGGGTTCTCTAGTCTTAAATAAATAACTTAGACTCTAGGTAATTGCTAAGTTCTCACTTATCCAAATTGATCCTAAAATCAGAGGTAAGGGTGATCAATCCTTAACACTAATATTTATGATGACTAGATTTAGAACTATATTTTAAACACCCTAATAATGATTACTTCAATGCATGAGTCAACCCTAATGAGAAACCTAAATCTAACAAGAGAGACTACTCAAACATATTTATGAGAGACAAAGTCATAATGGTTTGAATAATGCTTTAAGATAATAATAATAATAAGAGAAACAATAAGTAAAGCAAGGGAGTTCAAGATCTTCTCTGGATTGATCTCTCTCTCAATGCCTAAGCTCTTCTTCAAAGTATGGCTAGATGCTTCTCTCAAAATTAGGTCTAAAGGTCTCTGGAGAAGTCTGCTTAAACTAATACAAAACCCTATTAAAATAGCCTCACAGGTGGCCAGGGACTTAAGGCGTAATTTATTAAAACTCTTGTGAAGCAATTAGGCTTCTAATCTTCATTTAATAGCTTTGGAGGACTTTTGTATCGATCGATATAGAATGTCTTCTATCAATCGATTTGGATGATCTTTCATCAGTCGATTGCTCTTAATGCACATCGGTCGATACCGTTTAGCACGTTTTGTTCATATCTTCAGAAAGTCTCCATTTTAGCTCCATAATGGCCATTTTACACCAGTGAGTACCATAACCTGTAAAATCTCTAAAAAGACACTAAAAGTATCCTTTTGTTTCCAAAAACATATATAAATCATGGTTAAAAGTGGATAAAATCCATGATATATCACCTACGAATACCTTTCGCAATTCCCTCCTCTGACAAAAGAGCAAACGCTTTGGCTTCTCGTGTGTTTGTTATGTGGGTTCCTGTAAGTTTCAAAATGACCCAATATTCATTATTCTTTCCAGAAAAGAATCTCTTGGTCCAAGTAACCTACCAGTTGAAACTGACGTCCACAAAACTCGGATGAAAGTGATGACCATTGATCGTTTTCAGGGTCATCCAAGAGGTCCTCTACCCGTCTCCCAATTGCCACCACTCTGACAGGATCAGGGTAGACCTAAATGTAGAGAATGTGAGAACAAGCTTTCACAATTTGTAAAAACAAAACAAAAAAGACACATCAAAACGAACTGATGGATAGTATTAGTGACGGGCCTAACTCACACCCAAAAGCTAACTCAAGAGTGGAGGATTGCCCATACACATATATATTGCCCAAAGATCAACATCTTTAACGATGTGGCACATTTTAATAGCCCCTCTCGAGATGTGGGTGGGAAACAGTCCATAGGGGAACAGCCCAACCCAACATCTCGGAAATACCACAGCATATGGGCCACTTTTACAGGCTACATAGGTAGGAAACTGTTTATGTGGGAAATCATAATGCTGGACCAAACCATGGGCTCTGATACCATATTAGTGACGGGCCTAACTCACACCCAAAAGCTAGCTCAAGAGTGGAGGGTTGCCCATACACTTATATAATGCCCAAAGATCACTAATATAACCGATGTGGGACACATCTAATAGCCCCTCTCGAGATGTGGGTGGGAAACGGTCCATAGGGAAACAGCCCAAGCCCAAACATCTCGAGAGGGGCTATTAAAATGTCCCACATCGTTAAAAGATGTTGATCTTTGGGCAATATATATGTGTATGGGCAATCCTCCACTCTTGAGCTAGCTTTTGGATGTGAGTTATGCTCATCACTAATAGATAGCTTACTTCTCCAAACACTGCTCTTAGACCTTTGATTTCCAATTCATCCTTTATCTGTGTATTCACTATGTATTCAATCTTTCTCAACTCTTCAGCATCAACCGGCTTACCTACTCAAAATTGTGGAACCCATTAGACACTCAAAATGATCATCAGTATCGAAATAAAATTGCCTCACTGAAGAATGTACCATGTGAGAAATCAAATCGTAGTTTTTCAGGAAGAACTATTGAGCCCTTCTGATCAATATGATCCCCGAGCACTTCCTGGATTCATGGGGCATATATGTTTTGAGATATAATAACAAAATACAAGTTAGGTAACATAAATTATAGCAGAAGGATACCTTCAGGACAAAATTCAGCATATGCGTACAAGTATGATTAGGAGCGATGAGTTTACGTCTCTCATAGTCAACCTGCACGAAAGAAAACAAAGTTGGAAAAACATTCGATAGTACTAAATATGTTGAGTGAGACAAACAACCTCTGGTGCTAAGAACTACCTTGCACGTTACTTTATCCCCCACTGATACCTCTCCAGTTTCTGCAGAAAGACTACCAATATGAAGAACAAAGCCCCCATATATTTGGACATTCCATACGTTGAATGTACCAAATGACCCTTCTATAATCCCTGTGTCAAAAATCTATTGCCAGAGTAAAATGTTAGGGTCACTGATTGCATATATACAGATAAAACACGGAAAGTGTAGCAAACACTAGGTCTTATTCGATGTGATTACGTGAATTTTTAATATTTACAGAACTATAACCAAAGGCTTCAGAAATTAGTACACAAGAACAACTAAGACCTGAAGTCAAAACGATGCAATCATGATAGTTTCATATGATCATAAATACAATCAGTGAATTGAGTTACATATCAAATAGAATGTAATACCTGACCCCCCTGCGCAGCATAGAAACTTGTAGACGCTAATACTAGTCCCACATTATCGCCACTGGCAGAACTTTCCAGGAAAGCAGAGCCAGTGTAGATACCCTTTAATTCACTCTCGTGACCCTGCACCAAACCCCGGCAGTGTAAATTAGAATTGTAGGCTTATTTAAGACTTATTCATAGGAAAAAACATTTACCAACATATGCCCTAACTTTCGTTTTTATGCTAATGGTTTACAGTTTAGACAGTAACATGCGAGTTATATAAAATTACTGAGACTAACCTGGAACCAAATGTATTTGAAAGAATCATTTGTTGCTGAAACACCCATCTTGTGCAATGTTGATGTAGCATCAGCATCCATGACAATGGTACCACCAGCTTGCTAACAGAAAAAATATTAGCAGATTAGTTAATATTATAATGTCCTTTCAAACTTTAGTCATCTTCTAAGGTTAGTCTAGCATCAAACATTCTTCGAGAAAATGAAAATAGATATGTTAAAAAGTTAGACACCTTATTCTGGGCATTCTTCGATATATCCCTCGCCTCTTTCATGGCTTTGTTGAAACCATCAACATCAACCACCAACCCTTGTTCTTCAGCCATTAACTAAAATACGAGAATGGAAGTTACAAAAGTAACACACACCTTTAGAAATAAATACAATGAACAACATACCTGAGTCAAATCTACAGGGAATCCATATGTCGCCCATAAGATAAAAGCATCCTGCAAAGACAAGAACAGTTTATTTTGAAAATAAAAGGCAAACAGTTTCTTCGACAACCACATCATTGCAAAGTGTTACAAATACTGCAACATATAACATAAAATATTAAAACAGCACAAAAAGCATTAGATACGGGCCTCTCCACTCAGTGTAGTCCCCTGAACTGACTGACCAGCTTTCCGAAACTTCTCAATTCCCTGCCATAGATTTTTTTAATCAATCAAGTTGTTCTTATACTCACCTATATAAGAAATAAAGTAGATGGCCAAACAGGTCATTCATTTAATCTATCAGAAGAAGGATCCCCCTATAGGAATGGTATATAAATCATGTCCAAACGACGATGAAATTTGAGAGTGTATACTAAAATAATTGAGGTCGTTGATGTTTAAACATAATTTTTTAAAAATCATTAGCAAGACGAGCCAGCAACGCCAGTATAAATATTTGGATAAAAAGTGCGAAGGTTAGATGGAATTTAAAATAAGCCTTCACCTTCGCTAATGTCTTGCAGAAGCTTGCTTCCTCTTCTTTGATTATCTCTGTGATCTTTTTTTCATGTTCCTTTAACTCCGTAAAGACATGTCCCATCACCCGACTAACAGAACTTACGAGTCTGCAGATAAAAAAGTATAAAATGCTTAGTGACAAACAGGCCAAGCTGCGCATATGGAAACATATGTTGCATTTAGAAAAATACAAGATATAAACAAACATGTTCCAGCCCAAATGACAAAGATCAAAACCCAAATTTGCTGCGACAGTAAGAGGTAATTTCGTACCCGTTGAAAAATCCTTCCTCAGCTTTTAGGATCTCCTTTCCATGGCGAACTGCTCGACGAAGAATACGTCGCAGAACATACTCACGGTGCTCATTACCTGCAAGAGGGTGAATATCCAATTGGTATTTGTCAAATTACAAGAAAGAAAAGAGCAATACCGTACTAAGCTCGGTGAGTAAGAAAACTCGTATGAACATGTAGAAGTATGAACTCAAATAAACAAGAAAATACTAAGACGTTTGAATAAATATGTATATATGTATCATTACCAATGTAGACTAGACAAGAAACCGTGATCATACTAGGACGAGAGCTATCGAAAATAGCGAAGGATAGAGTCCTAATGTGATCAGCAACCACTCTATAAGCCATGTCAACTCTGTCAACATCTTCCAGACCAATTTTTCCAGAATATGGCCTAGCTCCCGTGGCCTAAATATAGGAGCGCATATCAACCCATCAAATAAAGATTCAAAGAAACTTGTGAGAAGATCAATCTGAGCTCTATATTTAAATCTCTCACTGATAAAATACATAAAAGTTGACATAGCTAACAACGAAATTGTCTCCACGCACCCATACCATGACACCTTGATCATTATACCCTAGGAAACATTCAAAACACTTGACAGTGTCGCATAAAAGGAGTAGGCAAAGATGATCATAGAACTACAGTACCTCCCCTAATCTACTTGACAATAGATAAACTAAAATGCTGATAGAACTAAATTGAGGCAACAAAAGCATCAGTAAGAGAAATCATTATCTTAACATAATGTCATGAAATAAACAACTAGAGGTTCCAAAATTATCTTTTGGATGTCATCAAAGATAGGCATGAACACATCGGTATCATAGTTGCTCATTTTGTTCTGAAGAACAGAAGTCAACCTCTCGAAACCCATTCCGGTGTCAACATGCTTTGCATGCAGAGGTTTTAGTGAGCCATCAATTTCTCTGTTGAACTATTTTGAAAACATAGAACACATGATCCTTTAGGTGAACAAAGGCAAACTGTTTCATATAAGTTTTAGAAAAATACCTGCATTTAAAGATGTCTTTAATTTTGTTTTTCTTCTCCTCAGTTGAAGCAGTATCAGTAGAGAGAGTCTCAACAGATTTTACTTTTTTTTGGTAATCTATCTCCTGCGATAAGTGCGGCAACCTCTGATGCAGTAGGAGTATCATATGTCCTTCCATCTTTCTCCCTATTACTAATAATCCTCATATGCAGTGTCTCATCAGGATAAATATTAAACCTTTCTCTGGCAGATCTAAACTGATTCACTTCGTCAAGCATTTTCACTATCCTTTCAATATTTTCACTATCCTTTCAATAACCTGATTCCTTAATCTCTCTCTTTTTACACTTCTCACTCTTTATTTTATATATCCTGGTAGAAAAATATTATAAAATAGCGTTATAGAGATGTTTTGCTGGAGAACAAAAGACTTTTATACGAAGATAGACATTGTAATTAAACATACCCAACAATAGTCGATCTGTTCCGAACTTCGTTTTCAGTGTCAACAATATAAAGCTGGCCAAACTTTGGATCTCCTCCTGTGGGTGGTTTTAAACTACCCATTAAGTGATAATTCTCTCCTTGAAGAATAACCATTTTTGGTCCAGGCCCTGGTGGAGCAGATCGATCTATTTTACCACCTAGAGAAGTAAATAAGAAAACCATATTTAACTGCCTGATGTTCTCCCGAAAGTATCTGCTGATCTCATCGTTATCTCTTAGCAACTTCGTTATAATCTTTTGTGAAGGCTTAAGTAACGGCAACTAAACTTAACCTTGACCATAACACAAAGAATTTGGTTTTCTACTCTAACGTTTCCTATCAAGGCGTCACCATACCACATTACTGCACCACAGTGTTCACATTTATGGACTAGATCCCCTTCGTCAACATACCGTAGATCTTTAGAAGAAAGAAGATATAAAGTTTGAAACACTAAACTTTCCAAAACAAAACATGTGAACATATAAAACAAATGTAACATATTACCAAGTTGTGTTTAGAAGGTGCTTTTTTTTTCCTAGGCTTTGAAACTGTAAAAACATGTAAAAATATCTGAATCTGTATTTAAATATAACCTGTTAATAATTTTTTTCATTAAATATTACCAGTGCGCTTGAATACGGATCATCCCTTCTTAACAGGTTTCTCGTCAAACATACTCTTTAAAAAAATTGCCATACTCTTTATCCTAGCTCTTTGATCATTAGGAACCGTTGGAACATTCTCATCTTGTTCAGGCGTACATTCTGTCTCCATGTCCGAATTATTATCATAAACGCTATCTTCCTCTTCAGAGCTTATATCATAAACCTGTGCATCTTGGTCTTCCGGAAAAATATTGCACGGTTCAAAATAAAGCATAGATGGTTTATGACAGACTAATAAAATTCAAAATATTTTGGGTACCTTCAAATAATTCAATGTCTATAGAACCAAAGTCCAATTCGTTTTCATTCACAGCATTTTCAGAGGTCGAGAATGCTTCCAATAGATTAATAGGGCGGATATCGGAAAATATTGTCTTACTCACCGGATTGAATTGTAGAACAGAGCTACCACATTTTGAGGATAAAGCAGCTAAACCTACAATCTGAGACCATTGTTGAAAAGCTAGATAAAAATGGTTTTAACATATTTTGTTAGTAATATAGATATAAAACTTACCTGATGTATTGGATCTATGTTTTAACCTCTTGGAATCACTTTTTCTATTTCCTCTAGCCTCGACTGGTAAGATTAGGTTATAAATAGGAGAACGAAATGTGTAACCATTAAAATAAGGGAAGAAATAGTACTAGTAGAATCATTGATGGAGTGTGATCCGGATAAAGGATGATTATAGACTTCTGATTGTGAGGTAGTTGGTGAAGACTGAAATGTATTACTGACATCACCCAAAATGGTATTGAAAACTCTCTTCAATGGCAAAAAACCAGATTTCTTCTGTTTAACTTGAGGAGTATTGATAGACCATGATTTTGACCCACTTTTGTTCATATTTTCTATATGTTTTTATTATAATTATCTATGTTTTGGAGTCTATTAGGTATGTTTTCAGGTTCAGGAGCATTTTGTGGTAAAGTGATGATTTAGGTGCCTTTTGGTGCTTAAAGAAGAGTTTTCCAAGATGACTACGACGATCCGATATAAGAGATACATATCGATCGATACACACCCTGTGTAATCGATCGATGACGCTTCCGTAGAAGTTGAAGTCGAGATTCTCCATCGATCGATGTACGCAATGTACCATCAATCGATACAGAGCGTGATGAGCAAGATTTATTTGGCCAACTTGAAGCCCAAGTTCTCACCAAATTACAAGACTGCCCCTGACGAGTTTTTAACCTAATTGTACTCCCTATTTATACCTATGCCTATGAGCCTTAAGAGCAAGGAAGTTTTGAACCAAGTTTTGTATTCTATTCTATTTAGCTATAAAAGCATTTTCTTTTCTTATTCTTTTGCTATGAATCTCTTGGCTATGTGTGAGTAGATTCATATGTTAGATTTGAGGTTCAAATAGTTATGAGGGATTAGCCCCAACTATGGATTGTTGAATTGTTATATTCATTATCCAAATGAACCCTAATGCTTACTCTAGATTTGCTACCTAGAGTATTGATTATGGAGTGACTAATCTAATAGTCATCTTCCTGAAATCATTTGGCTAAACCCAGACTCTATTAAGGCACGATGCTATAGCCGGTCTTATAGAAATTTTCGGGTGAACAAAGTTCGATCCGATCTGATACTTAATATCGATCGATGCTCTTCTAGGGTTATCGAACGACGACAGCTTATATCGATCGACACTGCGATAGCAACATCGATCGATGCAGTCGGCTATCAGATCAATGGACGAGTCTAACTAGCGACACCAATAGATTTGTCTAAGGATTGAAGTTCTCATATATTTGCAAGCAATTCGTTAAGACATCTATAGATCTATAATCCTGATTTTCTGAATAGTAACCTTGAATCTATTTATTTTCCTTCATCGTTTTCAAAACCAAAACCTATTCTCTTTAGCAACTTACCATTGCTACGTATTTTATTTACTGTTTTAAACCTTTTTCAACCTAGCTTAATCACTTAGGATTATATCTTTTGTGTCTCTAGTTCCTTGTGGATTCGATCCCTAAGTACTACGATTGAACCTCTTTCGATGAGAGTAATTCACTCCTTAGGGTAATTTGAGTGATATCAAATTTGGCGCCGTTGCCGCGGAACTAAGATCACTATTAGATTTAATCTGATTCAGTCTAGGTTATTTGTTATTTTTTTTTTCTATCTTTTGACACAAAATCTTTTTCTTTTTCTTTTTGTCTCTTTCAGGTACATGCCCAGCAGTACTAGAAGCAACAAGACCAAGCAGCTTTTGTACACAAAAGATCCCAACAACCTAGAGCGTAGCATCCGCACGGACATACGCTCCGCATCGATCGATACCAATACCATCGTATCGACCGATACGCCCTTTCCACCGACGATCAACAACCGTTCGTCAACCGACACTTTCACCACCTCATCGATCGACATCAACAACCGTTCGTCGACCGATACCCCTCACTTGACATCGATTGATACACCACACCTGACATCAATCGATACTAACCGGCGAGACATGGTAGCGCCTATGGTTCTCATACCCGATGAGAATGGAGACCTGCGTGATCAAGATGGTCACCTGCGAAATGCAGCAGGTCAGAAGCTGAATGATCAGAAGGAGATAATTATTGAAGAAGAGACTGCACCTACAGGCATCATTCAACCTGTAGAGGAGACAAGAACTTTGGCTGACTACAACTGCCTCGATCAGTTCTATTCAAACCGATCAACCATCCTACCTCCTGCCATCCAGAGAGGAGATTTTGAGCTCAAGCCGCAGTACTACACACTTGTGGGTCAAATCCCTTTTTGTGGTTTACCCCATGAGCATCCTATGGACCATTTGGAGAGGTTCGAGGATCTTGTCACCCTAGTCAAAGCAAAATGAGTCCCTCAGGACTATCTTTTCTGCAAGCTTTTCAAGTACTCTCTATCTGGAGAAGCTTTGCAGTGGCTAAGACAACTACCACCAGGTTCCCTTACCACCTGGAATGATATCAAACACGCCTTCCTGCGTAATTTCTTTGATGATTCACGCGCTGAAGACTGGAGAAAGAAGATTGCTACATTCACCCAAGCCCCTGAAGAGTCATTCAAGGATACTTGGAACAGATTCAAGTCCTACCAGCGAGACTGCCCACACCACGGATTCAACCAAGTACAACTGCTCTGCACCTTCTATAGAGGCATCAGCCCCGATTTCAAGAGAGCCCTTGATATAGCTAGCGATGGCAACTTCACCACCAGGAATCCTCAGAATGCTATCAAGCTAATTGACAACTTAGCTTCCAGCAACAACACAAGAAACTATATGAAGACTACATCATCCCCTAGGAAAGAGTACGTCAATGAAGTTCAAGCACAGCTAGACAACATTCAGAAGCTCCTAAACAAGCAGATTTGTGCAGTAGAAGATTCAGAAATGGTTGAAGAAGACGTCAACTGGATTAGTGGAGCCGTTTTTCTGAGATCTGGTAATCAAGGAGGATTCATAAACTTCACAGGCCAGAGAAGCAACTATTACCAGAATCCCCAGAAGCGCAACACTTTCAGCAGCAGCAATCCTAAAAACAACAGAAGCTATGGAAGTGCCTTCTACTCAAATCCACACCCACCCACCCAAGATACTAGACTGGAGGAATTGATGGACAAGATACTTCAGAGTCAGCAGAAGCTAGAGGTAAACTTCAATGGAAAGATATATTCTGTTTACACCACCTTCATGACGAAGATAGATGCACTCAGCACCCATGTGAAGAAGCTA